AGATGAAATGTTTTGGGAAATGCAGAAAGAAATGTTATCAAAGTTGGATAAGATACTTGTGGATTCGGACGTGGCTTTTGATGTGATTACAGCTTCATGTGCCGAGGCAGGAAATACAGCGGCTATAATGTTGAGTGCAGGGTTTAAACCTCAAAGTGAACCTCATTTGAGAGGGATGTTGGCTAGCATTAGAGCTGCTCAGCTTGGCGACCTCAGGAATAAGACAAGGATGTTTGTTACTTCAGGAAGGTGGTTGATGGGCTGTTTGGATGAATTAGGTGAACTTGAGCAAGGCCAATGCTTTATTCAAGTGTCAAGCCCTTCTTTGGAGACCTGTTTTGTTAAGCATGGTCCAGAGTTTTCTGAAATCAAGAAAAATCTTCAAGTAGTAAAGGGCCTTGTTGTAATTGCAAAGAACCCGTGTCTTCATCCCGGGGATGTGAGGATTCTGGAGGCTGTAGATGTTCCTGGTTTACACCATCTCTATGATTGTCTGGTCTTCCCTCAGAAAGGGGATAGGCCACATTCAAATGAAGCATCAGGGAGTGACCTTGATGGTGATCTCTACTTTGTGACTTGGGATGAAAATCTCATTCCACCCAGTAAGAAAAGCTGGATGCCAATGGCCTATGCACCTGCAGAAGCCAAACAGTTGGGTCGTCAAGTTCAACATACGGTAACTATCCAACTATGATGATATTTCTTGCAGCTTTGTTCACATCTTCCTATATTTGGTTAGCTTTTCCAGATCTGTATAAGTTTGTTTTACCGCGTAATGCTCATTTGGTTAGAATGCTGATGAGATTATTATAAGCCTTCTTGAAAAGCTAGCATTAATTGTTCTTTAGCTAATATTTACTATCATTGAACAACTGTATTGGGTTTTGTTGCATGTATTGCTCACTTTTCTTGTATAATGCATCCCAGTGGTATTCAACCATATTTAAGTTGTATGGTTTTTCCATACTGTAGTTGGTTGTAATAGAAGAGGGAGACTCTTTTTCTGTAGGCACACTCACTATGATAAAAAGAAAAATTTAAAGACACTCACCAATGATCTTGTGCTCTTCTTGCACTTGATTAGGAATTTCAGTCTTCTTTATGTCACTTATTATTTGTTGGATCATTTAACTGATTGCATAATATTCTTTTGTATTTATTTTTCTGATGTACTGTTCATTTGTTCAGTTTTTTAACTATCGTCTTCTTTTTTTACAGGACATAATAGATTTTTTCTTAAAGAACATGGTCCAAGAGAGTCTAGGAGAAATCTGCAACGCACATGTGGTTCATGCTGACCTCAGTGAATTTGGAGCTATGGATGAGAAGTGCCTTAAATTGGCAGAACTTGCTGCTCTAGCCGTTGATTTCCCCAAAACTGGAAAACTTGTCACCATGCCATTTGACCTCAAACCAAAAATGTATCCCGACTTCATGGGGAAAGAGCCGTTTCAATCATACGAGTCAAAGAAAATTTTGGGTAAATTATATAGGCAAGTGATAGATGTATATGATGCAGAGGGTGGAGAATCTTCTGGACTTGAGTATGTCCCTAAAGACATCCCATATGACACTAATCTTGAGATTCCGGGATACGAAGATTTCATAGATGATGCATGGAACCACAAATGTTCTTATGATGGTCAGTTGAATGGTCTTCTAGGACAATACAAAGTAAACGGGGAGGAAGAGGTGGTTACTGGACATATATGGTCCATGCCAAAGTACAGTGCTAAGAAGCAAGGGGAATTAAAAGAGAGGCTGAAACACGCATATAATATGTTGAGGAAGGAGTTCAGGAATGTTTTCGAGCAAATGGAGCCTGATTTTGATCTGCTTCCCATTGATGAGAAGAATGATATGTATGAAAGAAAGGCATTTGCGTGGTATCGGGTCACCTACCATCCTCATTGGGTGACTAGATCACTAGAGCTGCAATTGCCAGATGCTGTTTCAAATGGTGTTATGTTAAGTTTTGCTTGGATTGCAGCAGATTACATTGCTCGAATTAAAATTAGACAACGGGGAATGCAAAATTTTGACTCTACCAAGCCTATCGATTCTCTTGGAAGGTACCTTGTTAACAAGATATAACAGCCAAAACTGTCATGCGGTTAAATGCAAATCTATTGGCTTCTTATCAGCTATTTGGCTGTAAGGCCACTCTGCCATTATCAATACCTGGTTTGATGTCCTTCCGAACCTCCTTAATCCTACTATTGGATTGTTTCCTTGTGTGATCAGTTATTATATGAAATGTCGTCCAGGAGTTTGCCTGCTGATCGATGAAAATCTTCTCTTTTCATCATTGCTGTTTTCTGGTTTGTAGTATATGTCATATCCTCGCTACTAGTTTGTATCTGTTGTTGTTGCTGCTGTAGAGGATGTTATGGTTACTCTCGAACTGCTTATGTACTTTCTCTTACTTTTTTCGTGGTTGGTCCCTAACCTCTGTAATCTATTGATTTCGGACAATGGAGACCAGAAATGTGAGTGGTGAAGTTGAACTTAGCATTGCCACACATGTGTATTGACATTTTTCAGTCCAAGAAAACAAAGAGTGAATATAACAACATATATTGAGTGTAATATTACAAGTGCGGTCTGAGGAGGATAGAGTGTACGTAGATCTTACCCTACCTTTGGAGACTATTTCCTTTGAGATACCTTCACTGTCATTCGTGATGAACGTTGCCCTGTTTTGGAACGATACAGTAAGTGGATTTACATCAATCTAGCTCTAGTCTCATCTGAAGTAGTGCTCTCACTCATTTGTTTGGGTACTACTATGTACAGGACATGAACATCAAAATTGTGTTTATACATGGCGCCCCTCGCGTTTATTTCCTTAATTTCGCGTGACTAAAGTGTGTTGTTACTTGTTAGGGACAAAATTCTGCATCTCCTTTAAGGGACTTATGTTTAAAGCTATGTTGATGGAGTCCCGAAATGTTGTCACACTCGTGTTGAATTTTTCAAAAATGCACTACTTTTAAAGATTTTAACACTATCTGTCGATATTTTCAAAGAGTCTTCAGCCAACATAGGCTTAAAGTATTTCAACAGATGACATTTTAACAGCACTGTAAGGCAAGCAGATAATGATACAAATCTCTGAATAATCAAACAAAAGGAATACGTGTGAATGGTAAATTACATTTACAGGTGAAACCAGCAAAAGCAATACAACTCTTGTCGAGGCTCTTGCCTACATCAAAGTTCCATGTTCGATCTCTCGATGTCAACAAACAATAATATACTCAATGTAACTTCAAAAATGAGATATGTGGGAGATCTTACTTGTACTTGTGAGGGGTAGAGACGTTGATTTCAAATAATGAAAAAGAAAAGTATTTAACACCTGATATGGTAAGTGTTAGGATCGAAAAAATAGCAGGTGTAACTGCGGAAGCTAGCAAAGCAAACCTCGAAAGATCACGAGTAAGAAGACAACGAAAAATATACCAAAAGACACAAAGATTTAACGTGGTTCGGTCAATCGACCTACGTCCACAAAGGAAGTGAGCAATCCATTATAAATATGAGAGTATAAAATATAGAGAAAAACAACCTCAACCAATTCACTTGAAATACATGGGAGGTTCACACAAGTGATAACGTATCAAACTTGTGACCCACAAATTCTCTCTCTAACTAAAACTCTCAAAGTCTTAAGATTACATTGTGAATGCTGATTAAGTTAGAAGGAACATTCATCTATTTATAGAATCCTAACCCTTTTCCTACGAGAAAAAGATTAGTCAATCTAAAACCTTCATCTTAAAGGAAAATCTATTTATGGTAAGAAATTTAGGGCAAATAAAACCCAACAAATCTCCCCCTTGACCTGAATTTTTGACAAAATAAATTTGTCTACCTTCTTTACTTAATCTTCAACAAGTTGATTCCCCTCTCCATAATCTCCTTTGCAAAATATGTGTCTCAACACAGAGAATCTCTCTGAAACAATTTCTCCAACAGAATCTTCATTATTGTAAAAAAGGTTGCGTCTAGAACTACACTTGTCAAGATGAACACCTCTTTCTAACTCTGGTTCAATCATCGATTATCAAACCACTAAACCTGACTCCATCATTGAATCTGGTATTGATACCACTTGTTAGGACCAGAAATATGTAGGTGTAAATGCGGAAGCTAGCAATGCAAACCTTGAAAGACCATGAGTAAGAAGACAATGAGAAATATACCAAAAGACACAAAGATTTAACGTGATTCGGTCAATCACCTACGTCCACAAAGGAAATGAGCAATTCACTATAAATATGAGAGTACAAAATACAGAGGGAAACAACCTCAACCAAATTCACTCGGAATACATGGGAGGTACACACACGTGATAACGTATCAAGCTTGTGAACCACAAATTCTCCCTCTAACCAAAACTCTCAAAGCCCTTAAGATTACATTGTGAATGTTGATTAAGTTAGAAGGAAATAGAGTCCTAAACCTTTTCCTACAAGAAAATGATTAGTCAATTCAAAACTTTTTCCTAAAAGGAAAACCTATTTATGGTAAAAAATTTAGGGCAAATAAAATCTAACAAGAAAAGAAACAATAATCATGCAAAAAATCAGATTGAATGATAAATACGGTAAGTTAATTAAAATTAAGTAAAGTTAAAATAGAGTAACCATATAATATTGTTAAAAAATTAGAATCAATTGAAAGCCTCCAATAAATTTTGTAAGGTGAGTGGACAACATTAATTTATTTGTGATTCACAATAACATGTCATTTTTATCCTCTAATCATAAACCCCTTTTTGTAGCCCTAACTAAAAAAATCTTTTTTTTTCATGCTCATTATTCCTTTTTTCCTTTTGATTTTTTTATTGCTTTCTGTTTTCATCGAAAAGAAGAATAATTGCATGGATTTGAATATTTGATGAATATGATAGTTTTTTTAACATAAGGTAATATAACATTCTCCACCTTATACATATTTTTTGGAAATTTTCTCTAGATTATCTTTATTACACATTTGTTTCTTGTTTTTTGAAGTTGGATTTAAAATATTCAAAGTTGTTGCACTTGCATACTCATTGGATTTCTCTCATTAGTGTTGATTTCTTGAATTCTGTTCATCATGTGTTTATTCCTTTATATTTCGACTCTCTTAATTGAAAATCCTGATTTCGTCGCCTTCAGTATATATAGTGATATTTTGACTGGATTGTTGAAACAAGTGACCATAAAGAGGTATATGTGTATGCAATTCCCATTTTTCTAATTTTTATGGTTAAAGCCAGTGTTGCAAAAGATCGAAACTTTGACATGGCGATTGGATTCAACATCAACTATATATACTAGAAATATAATTTTAACCTTATGTATAACAAATTTTTCAATGGAAGGGGCTCAGATGAACCCTATTCGAAATCCCCTTCTGGTACCCTAGCTCCGCCCATGGATGTTATGCATAGTTCAAGGTTATATCATTAACAATATTTTGAACTATATTCTAATTAAGACAACAAATGATTGAAACTTAAATATTTGAACTTAGAAAGATTACAATCATATGCATTGGGAATAGGCGAGATGAGTCGAGGGTCTACTGGAAACAACCTCTTTATGTTCCAAGAGGGGGGGTAAGGTACACACTACCCTTCCCAAACTCCAGTTGTGGAATTACACTGGTATGTTGTTATTATTATTGATCAACATTACCTTGATTGCAGTTTGATTTTGATACTTAAAACCATGTTCTTTTGAGCTGTCATGGCGAATGGCGATGTTGAAGAGCCTCTACTACGAGGCAATGCAAATTCATCGATTCGATTTAGTGATGTGAACTCATTTAAGCGAAGGCGGTCTCAATCTAGCAGCACTTGTTGTACTATTAGTCATACACAGATAAATAATGAGGAACCCCCTCATTACCCTGAGTTCATTTCAACAAAGAGTTTTAGACTCAGAGATGTACTCTTGTTCTTGTTTGTTTATATAGGAGTCGGAGCGATTTGCTTCTTCATCATAAGCGATCAAATCGAGGGAAAAAAGACTAATGGGATTCTTGATGCTATATACTTGTGTATTGTTACAATGACTACTGTTGGATATGGTGATCTTGTTCCTAAAAGCATCTTAGCTAAGTTTCTCGCGTGTGTTTATGTGTTCACCGGTATGGCTCTTGTTGGATTTGTTCTGAGTAAAGCAGCAGATAGTTTTCTTGAGAGGCAACAAATCATGTTTCTCAAAGCCATAAAGATGAGGAAAGATAGTATTGTTAGTTCAACAGAGGTTTTGAAAGAGGTAGAAACGAACATCGAAAAGTACAAACTGTTAAGTACTTTGGCACTTCTTGTTGTACTTACTATGCTTGGAACAATTTTTCTATGCCAAGTTGAGGATTTGAATTTGTTTGATGCTTTTTATTGTGTTTGTGCTACTATTACTACACTGGGGTATGGAGATAAGAGTTTCTCGACGAAATGGGGGCGTTTATTTGCTTCTTTTTGGATATTGATGAGCACAATTTGTTTGGGACAGTTATTTTACTCCCTTGCTGAGTTATATACAGAACAAAGGCGAAAATCTATGATCAAATGGGCTCTAACTCGCGAGTTGACAAATTCAGACCTCCAGGCTGCAGATCTTGATCATGACAGTGAAGTGAGGTAAGTCGTTAACGTGCAACAGACATAGAGCAGAACGAAAGAAAACGATCTATACGATGATAACAATTAGTTGGGAATATATTTTAGTCATTTTATAAGACGTTTACGAAGGAGAGCCTTGGTGCAATAGAAACAGGGTTGTCGTTTGACCAAGAGGTCACAGGTTCAAGTGGCGAAAACAACCTCTTGCAAAACTGCAAGGTAAGGTTGGGTACATTAGACCTAATGTGGTCTGGCACTTCTTAGTCCACCGGAATGTCCTTTTACGTTCCTATGCTTTCCAACACCAACTTGTTTAGAACTGAGGCGTAGTTGTTATTGTTATATCGTGTTCAAGTTTTTGTGCTAACATTCTAATTATCATTTTCATTTGTCTTCATCCAGCGCTGCAGAATTCATCGTCTATAAACTTAAAGAGTTGGGGAAGATAACTGAGGAAGACATCTCTATAGTGATGGAGAGTTTCAAATTACTTGATGTTGATCATTCAGGCACATTGACTGAAAATGATATTGCACTTTTGCAGTCGTCGTCTCAATCCAAAAGCTGATAACACCCCTCTAAACATCTTATGCTTAGATGATAGAACTATGGAAATTGCATAGAAATTTTCGTTAACTTTCAAACCTATGCACTTAATGTTTGGAAAAAGGGATGATAGTTACATTCAAGATTCAAACAGATCGAAATATGGTTAGTGAGAATTCATATAGTCGACACAAACCTATTTTAAATTGAGGCATAGTTATCGTTGTTGTTATTTCACGTCGTCTATAAACTAATTTTCTTCAAGACTATTGCGAAGAATGTAAGTTTAAGGCATGTAAAATTTTGAACAAATTGAGACATGTTACATTGCCAATATCATCTTAGTAGCTCTTTAAACATGAACAAGAATGTACATTTATCAATCATTTACCATACATACACTTTCCACCAGAGGCGGATCCAGAATTTTAAGAAACACCGTTTCCAAGGTCCTGGATACACTATTTTACACATTTTAAGTAGATTTATTAACATAAATACAGAGTTTTGACCTAAGCTACTAGATTCTCCCGAACCCTTAAGGCCTTCAGAACCGTTGCGGGCGACTGAATATTAGAACTCTTCAAGTTGCTCCTGGTGTTGGTGCCCTGCAAGAAAATCAAGTAATGATCCTTCACTTTCTTTTACATTGGAGAATTCAACAGCTAATGGTGGTACATTATTGAAGGCAAGAATTGTGACTAAAAGTAGAGTTGTGGATAGCAAAAGAGGCCAGAAATAAGTAAGAATATTTGGTGCCAACATTAAAAAAAAAGTTATGAAAATTGATAAGGAAATCAATGTGACAATGTGGTTTTTGAAGTGCAAAATCTTGGCAAAGATTTCCATATTGTGATTCAATTTTAGAGATTTAATCAATCATACACTTAATATGTTGTGTTTTGAAGGAAGAGAGGTTTTTGTCTCTGTGCTAAAGATTCTTTGTCCAAAGTGACAAGATTTTGTGTTGTGTCTAAATTGTTTCACAAGTAATTCTATTCTTTGCTACCTTTGCATTTAGTTTTATTTTAATGGATTGTGCATTCTTGTCTAGTTGTCTTTAGATTTCTTCATGTTGAGGGATATGCTAAGATTAAAAAAGTTGTGAGTATGGGAAACCTCTCACAATTAATGTTTCGGAGGGTGATGTGTACGCAATTTTATTTCTATCTTGTGTTAAAGGTAGAGAGACACTTTTAAAACATCCGGCTCAAGTAAAATGTATCTAAATGGGTAAAAAATGAAAATACAGAAGTAAGGAACCATATAAAAAATAATTTCTTGATGATCATTATTATTATCGATTTTTAACTTACGAGTAGTTTTCTGTTCTTGTGGAATTTTTTTCATATTGCAGTAAAACATTCATTTATGGGATGGCTCTATATCCAATAGAGTTCGAATCGGTCGAGACATTTTGCTAAGTACGAAGGAGTGATTTTAACACTCTATCACATTCCTCGTTGATACGCTACAAGTAGTTATGTTTAGCTGCATAGAAGTTTAATTTTTTCTATATATGATCTTTCAACCATCTCAAAGTGAGCAAAACTCCTCTTTGGTGGAATTTTAAGGATCAATAATAACCTAATTAGTGAAAATTAGCACTAAAACACTGTGAAATTTTTAGTTGTAACAATGCATCTTCTAAGTTCTAATAAGTGCAAATTAGTACTTTAATTGTCCTTTGACTAGATAAAGAGATTAAATATAAAATATATATTTTTGAACTTGCAAGGTAAAATAAGTCATAAATATTTTTACAAAGTGACTTTGATTACATCATTCGTGCAAATAATTTACATGACTTTGATTACATCATTCGTCCAATATGTACTACTCTATTTTTACCGGGTTAAAATGACTTATAATAAGTTAACGACTCCGTTAGAGAAATTAGGTTCTAACCATAATGTGTAAAAATTATTGAATTATATTTATGATCTGTTCTTTCATTCACCTACAAAATTCACCAACTCCAACTAAGCATTCCATTTATTAAATAGTTGAATATGAAGTAGAGGCAAACAGAAAGTATATTAGTGCAGCTAAACACTTTCTTAATTTTATTCAAGCGTTCAAAACATATTAAAGACTACTCAAATGTAAAATCACAAAATGAGGGAAATGCGTACGAATAGTACATGTCTTCAGGAAGTACGAACGACTAAAGAAACAAAAAGTATCATATTAACTTGCAGCGCAAAAAAGAGCACCATCGATCACTTCTACGTTTCCAGATATGTATTGTTGATTTTGTTAAGCCTCTTCACAACATCTTTCATGGTTATTCTTGATTCTGGCATTTCCTTTGTGCATTCTAAAGCCAATTTTATCATGGAGGCTATGCACATTTCACTTTTACTAGTGATTTGTTCTTCCTCACAAAAAATATTGGCATCCACAACATCCATCATACTCCCTGAAAATGATTGTATTATCCATTTCCTCAGGTCAAGATTTTCATTGCATATCTCTTCATCTGTTGGCCTTCGTCAAAATCTCCATCAACATGATGCTGTAGCTATAAACGTCACCGCTAGCAGACACTATTCCCTCTGAGCCATATTCTTAGAAAAGGATTGAACATAAGTTACTCAATTGAAACACAACAATTACTCTGCATAAATGAAGACTTGCTTTTTTTACTTCTAGAATGCTAAACTATGATAAGAGAAAATCAAAGAGAGAATTTTCTTTATACCTGGTGCAATGTATCCAAGAGTGCCCAATGTTTCTGTATAAGCCATTGACTTGCTTATGGCTAAAATTCTAGAGATGCCAAAATCACCAACATGAGCCACCATATCTTCATCCAAAAGAATGTTGGCTGGCTTTAAGTCGCAATGAACTATTGGAGTTACATGACCATGATGTAGATATTCAACTGCCATAGCTGCATCAAGCATTACAGCAACTCTTTGATGAAGGTTCAAGTGCCGATTCTCTTTGTACAACCAATTCTCAAGACTTCCATTGGGCATAAAATGCAGAACAAAGGCTCTTATATAGTCACTAGAACACGTAGTAACCACAGAAACAAGATTTCTGTGTCTAACATATCTCATCACTTCACATTCGGTATCAAACCTCTTGCATACTTGCTCATTTTCCAAATCCAGAACCTTAATGGCCACTGCAGTTCCACCAAACAATGCACCTTTGTACACAGAGCCAGAGCTTCCCTCACCAATTAAATTGGATTCATCAAAATTATTTGTTGCTCGTTGAATCTCGCTGTAGGGGCAGCGATTTAAAAAAAAATTAAAAAATATTAAATCGTTGTTGGGCAGCGAATTAAAAGGGGCAACGATTTCTTTATTTTTTTGAATTTTCTTTTTGAAGAAATCGCTACTCCCCAGCAGCGATTTTACTTTTTATTTTAAAAAAATTAGATTTTGCAAAATCGCTGCAGAGGCAACGATTTTGCTTTTTTCGGTGGGGCAAGTCGCTGTTGGTGCAACGATTTTACCGTTTTGATTAATACAAAATTTTATATACCGTTTTAGAATTTTTGTTAATATTTTGTACCTTTAGGCTCCGGACTCCACATATTATAGGATCGTAGAGGCGTGGACTTTTAGAAAGTCATCGTAGTAATGTCACTTTGTGGTAACAATTAAAATAATAAGGTTTAATCTCACTTTTATGGTAACAATTAAATTGAAAAAAATGAAAAGTCATGCAAATATCTAATACAAGTGACCAATGAATAACTATATGATTCCCATATCTATATTTGATAATAGGGTAAAATTACTTGGTGTTTCAATTGATTTACAAATTTTGGAGTACACATATCACCCTTCATTGTTTTAAGTTTACGAGTATATTTCTTTTTTTAATAAATCCTACTTTATGTGTCATTTATATACTTTATACATGTCTCATTTTTAAAAACTCAATATTAATTGATCAGGTACACATGCGACACATGTGAGCAACGACTGGTATTATTAAATAACATGATTTGAGTTCTTTTTTGGTTAAAATGTGTCCAATTGAGATTTCTTACTTTGTCTCATTATTAATTGTAATACTCCAAATTCCTTACCTCAAAGTGAATGCATCGAGATAATGATATGAGAAGTTAATAATAAGTCATAAATGAGATTATAAAACAAAAGGGAAAAGATAACAGCCAGTCAAATTAAATTTCTTGATAGTGTTTAAAGTTCCTATGCAAATCGTGGTGCAATATTAATGTTTCATCAATTAAAAGTTTGATAGGAGATTATTTACTTTCTGTGTAATTATAATGGATGTGTATAAAATATTGTATTAAGATTTTATCCACAAACACTTTAAACTAATTATCTAATCACAACTCTAGGGAAAAGTAGAAGAGTAAGACTAAAAAAATTATAGTTGAAAACTGAAAGGAAATTTCTTTATTTATCGTCAATAATAGATAGTATGAATAAATATTTTTGTGTCTTATTTGAAAAGTCATAACCTTTTCGAGAAGTCACAATTCTTCTGAAAAGTTAAAACTTATTGAAAATTAAAAGTCACAACTTATTGAAAAAGACACAACCCTATGGAAAAGTTTCAACTCTTTGGAAAAGTCGCAACTCATCGAAAAATCATAATCCTTTCAAAAAAGTTACAACTTATTGAAAAAGTCACAACTCATCAAAAAAATCACAACCTAAATTAGAAATATCGTAATAATTTAATATTTAAATTAGGAGTTCATACTTTTAAAGTAAATAGATTGTGATTTCCTCAAACTTTTATGTGATGTTATTGATATGTCATCTCATTGAGGAATATTACAATGGCCAACTTTATAAAGACAAAACCACAAGAAAGACAGGTCAATTATGCGTTAACTGAGGGGTAAGGGAATTGATTGAGAAAAGTCAGTCAAACTTGTATCAGTGAAATCACTTTTTTTAATTAAAAAAAGTTGCATATATGGTCCAAAACCAAATGAAATATCTTCACCTAATATTTGAAGGGTATTTCTCTAGTTATGTTGTTGAAAGAAATGAATGAAATTAGATAGTAAGATATATAGTTTTTGGCTAAAATCATTTATCAACTATGATTCAAAATTAATGTATATTTTTATATTATCTAAGCGAATAAAAAACATCCTTAAACGATCCAAACAATAATATGAACCATCCTTCAGTATATTTTAGTTAAAAAAACTGATAGAACCATTAATAATATATTTAATTTGATCATGTCTTGACCATGAGAATCATCTCATTTTTGGCGAACTTTTTAAAGGCAAAAACACATGGATATATATTGTATGGTCAATGGAAGTCTCCACAGTCTAAGATAAGTTTAGGAAAAAAACATGTCGTTTGACCATCAGTTATTGGGACAATACAAAATTTATTTGTGAAATTTTACTAATGGTAATAAATAGTGTATATGAGCCTGTAACTTTAAAATATATAATGTATTTAATTTTTATACAGGTAAATATTGAATCTGTCTTTTGATCACGTATCAATAATTGAATAATCTATAAAATGCTGTTGCAACAAACACATTTTGTAGAAATAAATTATAAATTATTTAAGTGTAGTTTTATTTTCGGATAAAAACAAATTGGTTTTGAACAGATAAATAAAGAGCTAACAAAGAAGATATCAACGGTAAATATTGTTAGTATCAAGACCAAAAGTTCAGGCATGATGGTACACACCCCAGAATTTCAAAAAAAATGTGTGTAAGCCGAAAGAATACATAAGAAACTACCGAAGGGAAGTCAGACCACAACACCTGATAGCATAAGTATAAAGAGCATCTGATACCATTCCGTTCTTATTTTATCTCTAAACTAAATAAAATATTAATATATAATTAATTTAATATGAAATAATAATTTTATTTAAATTCATGCCTCTAGACATAATGGTTCAAATTCTTAGGAAAACAGTTACAAGAAGAAGAAAGACCAAAAGTTGCATTTTCCTTAAGAAATGTGCTAATAATCTGTAATAGAGAAAAATATACAAGAAGTAGGAAAGACACTAAAGGTTATTTCTTTCATATTGAATCTTTATGTTTTTTTCTTTTTTATTACTTTATTTGTTTAATCTTGAATCTTTTAATTGTATTTTAATATATTTTCTTCAAAGGAGGAAGGAATCGTCAAGCTCATATGGACATGAATCAATCAGCCGAAATCAAGGACTCAACCAGGATTATTGATTTGAAATACCCTTGGGTTATTCCTTAACAAGTGCAGTCCCCAATCACTATATAATCCTCGTCTATCCTTAATTATGAATGATGAACTTCACTTGAACTTATATTGTAATCTTTTTTTATCTTTCATAAAACTCTGTACATCTTTGAGTGAACAATTCTAAAGTAAAGAAAAAGAAAGATCTGAGTGTAGGTTATGAAGGTAGATGTTGTGTCAGAGAAGAAGGTTTGATTTGCATATCAGACGGCTCTTAATCATAACATTCTGTAATATTCAAGTTCTCAACAATCTCTTAAGGAAACCCTTGTAACCCAAGGGGACTAGACCAGACACCACATCGGTGATTCGAACCAGTATAAAAACACTCTGTGTTATTTACTTACTGCAAGTTATTAATACTGTTTATCTGTTTTACTAACGTGCAAGTGAGTCAACTGACCAGAGTAGGAAGTCGACTTAAAGAAATTTTATCATTATTGTTTATGTGTTTTACTAACATGCAAGTGAGTCGACTGACCAGAGCAGGAAGTCGACTTAAGGAAATTTTAATTTACCCCTCCCACCCTCTCTTGACTTTCAATTGGTATTAGAGCATGCCTCACAGATTCAGTGTTTAACCACACGTGAGCAAGATCTAATGGCACGCTATCTAATTCTTGGCGCGTTACTTCAAGACGGATATCCCTCACACCGACCACCATACTTTAATGGACAACATTACTCTCACTGGAAAGACAGATTTATAATCTTTGTCTGTTCAAATGATTATCAAGCATGGATAGTAATCAAGAAGGGCCCGGATCAGTTCACTTGTAAATGAATATGAGTTGTTCAAAATGGCCAAAGATGAAAATGTTGAATCCATGTTCTCGAGATTCAGTTTAATTGTCTGCGAACTCAAATCTCTTGGAATGGTGTATTCAAATGCATTACAAGTCAGAAAACTCATTAGAAGTCTTCCCAAAGCTTGGGAAACTAAAGCTGTCATTCTTGAAGATGTAGATCTGCAGAAAATGACATACGATGAACTTTGACTACTCATTGAATCGACATTAGTTAATTAACGAGCTTCTTAAATTTTAACAAGATAAAATAACTAACTCAATTATAAACTAAGGACTCAAAATATAAGATACTTGTTTAGACAAAATTAATCTAATAAAGCGTTAAGTAAAATTAAAATCTTTTTGAGACAATTTTCGAATATTTTATAAGATAAATTAATTATATAAAAATATATATTATTTAAAAATTATTAAAATCGACTAAAGCTACTTTAAAATGATTTAAGAAATATTTTAAATTTTATAAAGTCAATTATTTCAACTCATTTGAAATTTAAGAAACTCGGTAATTAATATATATTGTGGAGGTCCAAAATTGGGTGTCAACAATCATCACAATTGAATTTCCTAGAATCTAAATCATGTAATAGTAAGAGAATTTTAATGTGGTTTTCATCTTTCCATTTGTTTCCATTTCGTAGTTTCTGATTCAATAGTTGATATTCTTTTTGGGTTTTCACAGGTTAGATACAATATAACGTAGTTTCAGCTGACCGAGCACATGAACTTAGATAACAGGCTATGAACAACTCGAATTAGGTTTTAAAGGTTAGTTACGTAGTTGACTGTTATTTGACTACTTTGTAGTTTCTTGTTTGATTTTCTGTCACTATTTGACATTTATTGTACTTCGATTATTGTCTTATTTTATTATAGTTATTGTTATATTTTAAGAAGATAGGAGTTCTCATATGCTTTTTGCTTTTTCCCGAATTACTTTTTCTTCGAATTTCACTTGTGGAATTATACTGACAATGTCATTATAGTAGTAGTAGCGGTGATCTATTTGGGCATTTACCTCAGGATTATATTCCTATTATGCTTGATAATTTCAATGCTAATGTGGATATGGATGGAAGAATTTTCAATTTGGAATTATCAATCCCTGCTGATACTTTTTCTTTCAACTAGATTCTGAGAACGTGGCTTGCACGTTTGTCCCTTATTATTATTATTAAATTTTTATATACTAAAATGGTTAAGTAAAAGATGCTTAAATTAAAAATAGTAGTTTAACTATTTATCTTTTATTCGCTAAATAATAATAAATATAATATGAAGAACATAAATAGATGATATATCCAGTTATTTTTTTGTTATCCTTCTCTCATTCTCTTTTCTTCTCATTTTGAATAGTGTAATTTCCTTCCTATGATAATATCAATCTTAGTAATTGGTTCGTAAAAAGCATATTAAAAATTTAATTCTCAAAGTGTTTTTACATAAATAGTGGAGAATGACTCTTCACATTGAGCTTTTAATTTTAAAAAATTATGTGTATGAGAAATAATTAACATTCAATAATTTGGCAAGAATATCACATTATCATAAATAAAATAATATCTCTAAGTCAAAAGTAAACATTCTAGTTTGGTAAATAATTACTACTAACTATTTATGGGTCTAGCTCCAATCAATAATCTATAGATAGGAGTTTGACAATTTTCCAACTACAGTTAAAATTTTACATCAACAATAAATAGCTTATTATCACAGTAGATAGACGTTTGATGCATAAAATTTATAAATGCTAAAAGATTTCGTCAATGTAGTACATATGTAAACTTATGATAAAAACACTTGGTATATTACGAAACACACTTGAAGCAATTACCATGATTAATATGTCAATTATTTTTATCATTATTACATATATACGTCTTCTTTTTAACCATAAAAAGTATTGTACACATGATTTATGAAGAGAAAAGAATAATACTCCTTTTTTCATAACATTACTCTTTGAATAATTAATATAAATTGAGCAATATAAACTTTTCAAAATGACTTATTCTAGATATATGATCAATTTGAGGAATGAATGTTCCAACAAACATATAATAGACTAATAAGATCAATAAATTATACATATAAACGAAAAGTTTAAATAAAAATACAACCTCAAAATCACATATATACTATATAGAGTATGATCCATTCTTTATCTCCAATTAGGTGGGCCATTTTATTTTTAGTTCATATATATATATGATTTCTCATTTAGTCATTATTCTCACTACTCATAAATAATAATTTCAAAAATATATTTATACTAAAGTAGAACACTCTATCGAGAGCCAAATAAGCATGTCAAATAAACTGATTAATCTTTTGTAAATATGAATTTCATCAGTAATTAAGATACATAGTAGAACATGAATTGTATATTACTATTTTCTTCTTGTAGGATACAAAATATTCTAATAAAAAAACAAAATCATAAGAAAGTACATCAACATATATATAAAGGAAATACATAATACTTAGGACGGACAAAAAAGAGCGGATAAAAACAAAATATAATTACTGCACATACAAAATGATTTGCAATGTTCATTTTTGCATGATAATCTCTCATCCTCTTCTTGTCATTTACATAAAGATCATGCTAGGTAATTTATAGAAGTAGCTATGATGACCTTTGAGTAGATAATTAATTTGCAATAAATTAGTTCAATGGTTTTAGTCCATATCAAATTTGTTTAATGGAAAAACTTTTCAAATATTCCTAATTTTCACAATAGAGTAATTAATTATTAATGTGAATTTGATTCATACACCAATCTAAATGAGTTATTTATTAAATTTTTAATTATAGTTTATAATATTTATTTAATTATTTTAATATAAAGGTAAAATGGTAATTCAACTTTGAATTTTGAATCTTTCCACTTATAATATAATATGATGGATTCATTGCTCTTATAAGATATTTTAAAATTAAATAGTTAAATTCGCAGGAAGATGAGATTGAACACACCCCTTTACAGAAGTATGTGACAGTCACCTGCTGGATCCACTTATTCATACACATTTTTTTTATATTTCATCTTTGCTCCTTTACATTCATTTCATGTATCTATAACTACTACATCGACTATTACTTTTGGGCCAGTGCTAACACGAGCACCACGTATCTAGTATTTTCAATGAAATTGTTAGACTATTTTCACTAATTGTTTCTTTTTATTTTCACATTCACTCATTATCACATTCAAAAAAAACAAAATAGTGCAGCTAAACACCTTTAAGTAGATCATAGAGTAAAATAGGTCAAAAACCACTCAGTTGAAATTAAAAACAATAAACGACAACTATATTAAAGAAACAAAAAAGCATCATATTAGTTTGCGGCTCAGAAAACAACAACATGATTTCTATGTTTCCAGAAATGTGTTGTTGATTTTGTTAAGCCTCTTTACTATATCCTTCATAGTTATTCTTGATTCTGGCGTTTCCTTTGTGCAATCTAAAGCCAACTCAATCATGAAAGTTATGCACATTTCACTTTTACAAGTGATTTGTTTTTTCTCGGAAAAGAGATTGGCATTCACAACTTCCATCATCCTCCCTGAAATTGATTGTGTGATCCATTTCCTCAAGTCAAGATTTTCATTGCATATCTCTTCATCTGTTGGCCTTCTTTTGATCAAGACTTCCATCAATATGATACCGTAGCTATAAACATCTCCACTAGCAGACACTATTCCCTCTGAGCCATATTCTTAGAAAAGGATTGAACAAAAGTTACTCAATTGAAATACAACAATAATTCTCCTTTTACCTCTACAACTTGGAGAGGCTTTATTAAGATAAGAAAAAATCAAAGAGAGTAGATTTTTCATACCTGGTGCAATGTATCCAAGAGTGCCCAATGTCTCTGTATGTGCCACGGATTTGCTCACAGCTAAAATCTTAGAGATTCCAAAATCACCAACATGAGCCACCATATCTTCATCCAAAAGAATGTTGGCTGGCTTTAAATCGCAATGAACTATTGGAGTTACATGACCATGATGTAGATATTCAACTGCCATAGCTGCATCAAGCATTACAGCGACTCTTTGATGAAGGTTCAAGTGCCGATCTTCATTGTACAACCAATTCTCAAGACTTCCATTGGGCATAAAATGCAGAACAAAGGCTCTTATATAGTTACTAGAACATAAAGTAATCACCGGAACAAGATTTCGGTGTCTAACATTTCTCATCACTTGGCATTTGGTATCAAACCTCTTGCATACTTGATCATTTTCCAAATCCAGAACCTTAATAGCCACTGCAGTTCCACCAAACAATGTGCCTTTGTACACAGAGCCAGAGCTTCCCTCACCAATTAAATTGGATTCATCAAAATTATTTGTTGCTCGTTGAATCTCCTGATAAGAAACTAATTGATGAGTCCGGATCTCCGGTATATTCTCCACATCTATGGACTTCCCTTTCTTCCGTCGTTTCATCATCCAAATTGAAACCAACAAGAATATCAGAAAGGATGCAATAATCACTGGAATAACAATTTTTAGCAGAACCTCCGTAAGCTATTGTTTGCCAGAGCAACAGAAAGTAGAGACGATATATTAAACAGTGTTGGAGGAATGGGACCTGTTAATTGATTATCTCTCAAGGATAAAAATGCAAGCTGGCTCAGATTACCGACCTCCGTTGGAATGTTGCCGCTGACTCTATTCCCAGACAAACTGAAGTTCATCATTTTTGTGGCATTTCCAACAGAAGGGGGGATTATACCGGTGAGGCTATTTTTCCTGAGATTTAAGACTCTGAGTTGGGGTACATACCATGGCCCTCTCCACATTTCACCCAATGAAATTACTTCAACTCTACGGTTTTGAAATAGACTTGTTGGTATACTTCCGTTGAGCTGATTGTTTTTAACATCAATCACTCGCAAGCGAGGCAGGTGACCAAGTCCATAAGGGATGCCACCGTGGAAGCTGTTATTCTGGAGATTGAGAACACTGAGGAAGGACAAATTGGCCAAAGACGGGGAAATTGTGCCTTGAAGTTGCAAATTAGGAAGATCCAAGGCAACAACCCTTTGTCTTTTTGGAGTGCAAGTGACACCAAACCAAGAGCAAAAAGAAGGACTTTTGGTCCAATTATTGGCCAAAAAATGATTAGGAGTTGTAATGAGATTATGGAAAGCTAGTAGAGCTCTTTGGTCAGTCTCATTTGAGGAAGAAAGCGATACAGAAAATTGAATTAGAAATAGAAGAATCAATAATAACAGAATGTTATTCTTCATGATTGATCCAAAGCTTGATTTGTTTTTCAAATGTATATAGCAACACTTAAGTTGTTGAGTTGACCGAACAATTCGTATTTTCCTAAGTCTTTCTCAAGTGTTCACTACAAAGGGCAAACGTATCACATCAATCATGAATGAAAATATTTAGTCCTAAATATGTTATTATATTTGTATGGCTATATTATTTGTTTTCTCATTATAGATAAAAGAGATAAGTCATAAGTATTCCCCTAGATTATAATCGAAATTTCAAAGTTAACTAAATTAAGATTCTATTATTCATAAATTTATTTTTTTTGTAATTTTGTGCACCTTTTATCTTACGTGGCACACTCCATCACTCCACGCAATTGAGGCGCGTGGAATATGTTTGGATGACACATAAGACAAAAAGGTGCACAAAATTATATATAAAAAAATGGTATGGGCCAACTCTATTCTATTATTTCTGTTACTCCGTGTGCGTTGCCTAAGGAATAAAAAGTAGGGTGACGCGTACATGATTTTATTCCTATCTTGCAATAAAGGTAGAGAGACAGTTTCAAAACATTTAGCTCAAGTAAGATATATCTAAATCGGAAAAAAATTAAAATACAGAATTGAGAAACCATATAAAAAATAATTTGTTGATGATCATTAATATTATCAATCTATTACTTTTCTACTATTGAGAAAATTTCATTATCACATTACGATAAAACATTCCTTAGTGGAGACACAACTCTATATTATTCAATTATATCATACCACTTTATGTGTTGACTTGACAGAACAATTGGTATTTGCCCAAGTCTTCACGGCATCAACAACAACAAACATATGGAATGACTCCTTGATCTGCCTTTATTTCCTTTTTCCAAAAGTATTTTATATCTAGCCTTAGTGCTTTTGATTATCTCATCTCACATTGGCCAACTTTATAAAGGCAAAAACATATGGATCGTATATTGTATGGTCAATGGGAGTCTCCACGGTTTAAGATAATAGTGGACATGAACCTATAACTTTAAAATATACTCAACTTTGTCATTTAGAGCTGATATACCCCTCGTTATAAAAGTGACTCATATATACCCCTACTTGTAAACAAATGACTCACATATACCCCTCATTAATTTGAGGTTGAAGTTTCTTGCACATATCATTACAAAAGACATTTTCCAAGTAGGATCGATCACTAATGCTAATTTTCTAGTCTTCATTAGAAGAAGTCGAACTCGATAGTGAAAAATAGCAAATTCACTCAACTTAATTAATTTACACAAAACGTATTATTAAATTTGCTCTAAAAGGATAATATCTCAAGATAATTAATCACAGAAATTAGATTTCATAATTAAAACTGAAAAGATTTAAAAAAAATAAAATAAAAATTAACGTGTAGAGGGAAATAAAAACATATTATATGAAAGAAAAAAAGATAGTGTTATATGATTCATTTTTGAAATTATTATAATAATTGACCGTTACCCAAAGAGCTCTTTTCATACAAAACTCTCTTCTCTTTTCTTCACAAACACAGACAGAGGCTCTTTTCATGGCTGAATTTCTCTCTTCTGCACCATAACGCCATCAGAATGGTGATTTTCCCAATTCCCCTCTCAATGAATTTCCTGATTCCCCATTCAATTTTACTTCTTTTTTGGATAAAAAATAATCAACTGTTTGTGTGTGTATGCAGCAGACAGTAATCGCGAAGATGAAGGTGGTGAGGAGTGAAATTGCTGCGAAACAAGTGGTTGTGATCGAGGAAAATGAGGAGATACATTGGTATGCTTCTTGAATTTCGTCCGGAGGACACAGGTACTTTTTCCTCTGACTTAGGGTTTGGGGATTTAGTTCATTGATGGGTTCTTTGT